CCTCCCTGCTGTAAGCTTCTGCTGATGCAGCTGAGGACTGAGCTCGTGTCGTCTGCCAATGGCTCCCAGGATCTTTCCCAATTATGTAGTGTGGTCCTGTGTGTGAGGGGTCTATGACCCAGCCTGGCATGTGAGGGGTCTGGGGACTTAAGTATAAAAGACTAAGGGCTCTGATACACGGTGCTTCTTGAGACACTCCAGGAGGCCACTAGGGTGGCTGCTTCTAGCTCTCAATAAAGCCTATTAAACTTTTTACCTACAGCTCCCAGGATCTTTTCCTATTACCTAGCTTGTGGACCTGCATAAGAAGGGTTTGTGACCCAGTCTGTACAATGGGCTCGAGGGGTCTGTGAGTCCTAGCCCTAGCTTTATACCCGACAACTGGCATAGTCCTGTAGCTTTACACTCACCATGAGAGAGATTTTCCCCATGAGGCATTTACAAAGGGAAGTTATCTCGACTCACCAGGCTCAATCTGATCCATACCAGACCAACCTCCAGCCACCTGGGGAGCCCTGGACCAGATCTCAAAAGATGAGTGTGCTTTCAGTATTTCTTTCCTACTTTTCAATTTTAAAGGCTAATTATCTTGAAGAACAGAAATAATGTGTTGTATACCTCAGAACATTCAGGTCTCATGCCTTAGCCCGAACCACGTTACGATCAGCTTTGGCGATTAGCGGTCCCACTGCATATAGGGCAGTGAATCTCAACCCTCAACAGGCATTTTAAATTGCCTGGGGAACTTTAAAAAAAANAAAAAAAATACTTATTCTTGGGCTTCATGCCAGAGATTCAGATTTAATTGGTCTGAAATGGAGCCTGGGAATTCATATTTTTAAAAGCTTGGCTTTAAAATTTCTTAAAAGCGATTTAATGCATGGGCAGGATTGAGAACCACCAATCTAATGGTTAGAAGGGGAGAAAAGATAGGCAAGAGTTTGTGGCATTCTCTTTAAGTTGATCTCTAGGGCATTGGAGAGCCACTGACAACACGAGCTGGGCAGTGACACTAAAGCAGAGAAGAGAAAATTTTTAAAAAGTTACCATGCACTGAAAGACTGGGTGATACAGGCATTGATATAAATAAAAGGGATTGTCTTCCCAGGCAGAGGAAGGAAAGTGCTGCTGTGGCCTGCGATAGGATATTTGGCAGCCTCAGGGCCATCATTAGGGATCAGCAGACAGGATGTGAATGAAAACCAGCCCTTGGTCTTGTCTCTGTCTCTTCGCTTTCCCATTAAAAATGAGCAAAGTGCTGATCTTGGCATGATGTTGCTTATCTGCTGTCAAGAATAAGCTGAGTTTTCACATACTAAGCTTTATTACTTTGGTTCAGAATTCTCTTAACAGTAAAGGTTCAGGGGATGCCTTTAGAAAAACAACCCACAGGTATGATAACTACTGTTATCAGAGTCCTACAATCA